TACAGACTTGGAGTCGCAAGTGCTGAGAATCTTTCCTCTGCCCTGGAGGGAACTGTGGCCTCAACGTGTCTGTCTGCCATCAACAAGTACATGGTTTTACCCTTAATAAAGTGCCAAAATGGCTAACATCTAGGCTCCACGGTAGGGAAAAGACATTTATTACTTATTATTTGGGGGGTATTTCTGGTTTTGGGGGTCTTTGGGTAGCATTAGTAACAACACACGTAGTAATTCATAATTAATACTTTGCTGACTCCTGATGGTATGGAGATGGGGTTCAATAAACATTCCTTACACTGAGTGCAGTTTACTTCCTAATCCTGGAGACCAGGCCTGCCCTGAGGGTGTGCAGGTCTCCTCTGTCACAGCAGACAGATAGATCCAAGCTGCCCTAGCTCTGATGGCAAATGGCTGCTGGGAGCAGGGGAAGAAGAAGGAGAGTAGTATGTTTTCCTTTTTTTGGTACTGGGTATTGAACTCAGGACCTTGCGCTTGTGAGGCAGGCGCTGGCACCACTGAGCTAAATACCCGGCCCTCCTTTTTTTTCTGGGTTTATTTTCTTGTTTGTCCAATGAAGATAACAATACCTGACCTATTTTGGAGTTACTTTGAGGATAAAATAAAGTCAATGCATATGGAACTCCAAAAATAAGTAAATAAACAACACTACACAGACAAAGACATTTGGACTCATTTCTCTTCTCCCTGGCAGGTAAGACAAAACCTTCAGTTTCCTCCCACACTTGGCCCAGGAACAGGAGGGCTGCTTGCTAGGCTGATTTCTGGGGCCTGTGTGCAAATTCCTTTTCTGATGCTATCAGGAGTTGTCCTGCCCTGAAGGGGACAAGGAAAAGCTTTGTAAATCTGGATATGTAAAGCCTTCCCTTCAGCCCCCCATGCTGGCAGCCCTTTTTCAAAGTGAAAACAATTTTAAAAGCCGAGATGATCTCATAGGTCTTTCTGCTTCTGAAACAGATGGTGTGATTCACATACATCTGACATAAATGCACCAGGTAGTGATGATTTGCCTTGTTATGTTCAGCTGAAGCGTGGATTAACTAGCAAGGATATGTTGTGGATATAAAGTGTGACCTTAGATTAACACAGAAGGTAGGAGCAGGCTGCTTCATGGTTACTGCAGTGAACTGTGACTCAGGGCTCTATGGTTCTAGTCACCATCCCATAACCTTTGACGAGACACTGGAGGTCTGCTGGAGGCCTTGAAAAGTACCCTTAACTTGTGTGTGCAGGCTACCCATCCTTAAAAGCATTATAATATATCATTCCTCTGAGAAGAGAGTTGCTAACAATTAATGACTAATAATGCCAAAGAGATAGCAGCCATCGGCAAACACTTCTGAACACCCACCAAGCTCTGAGCACTATTAGGACTACTACCTAGAATTATCAGTGAAAGGCAAAGCTCAGTTTCTAGAAAATCTGTCCACTGCTTTTCCCCTTCAAGCCAACCATCTGGCCTCTCCAGCCGTGTCTGACAGACTTTCTGTCACGACTGAAATATTCTCTATTTACCTTGTCCAGCAATAGCTACCATTCGTGAGGTACTTGCAGCTATGGGTCTAGATGCTTGGACTTAAATTTATATTCACTTTAACTGACTGAAATGTATGTGACAAGAGCCACACGTGGCTAAATGGCTGCTGTGTTTGACAGCACAGCCCTGGCCAAGGAAACCTCTTCAAAGCACCTGCATAAAGGTGACATCAGGAAGGCAGTAGAAAGTAAGTTAACTAATGGATCAGCCACTCTTTATCTTCCAAACAGCTTTTTTGGTAGCTCAAGCTAAATCTCCCAGTGCCCTGATACATGCAGTACAATCAAAATAAATGCTGAATGCTTAAAAAAATTTTTTTAAATATTATTATAGTAAAAAAGACACTGTCACTAATCATCCTCGAAAGACTCCCTCTTGCTTTGGACACATTTATCTCGTCACTCTTGTCACTTTCTAAAGCAAAGGCCTTTCTCATGTCTGCAGTTACACTGTTGTTGTTGCCTTGATGACCTCAAACAATTCAAAACATTTACCTTTCGTGGTCATTTTGACTTTGAGAAAGCACCAGGAGTCACATGATGCCAGATCAGGTGAACAAGGTGGATGAGGGCACACTAACGTTTTACGAGTCTGCCTTTCCACTGGATGGCACTCAGCAGCAGCACTTACTATATTTTTGATCACACCTCATAAAGACACCCACGATAGAGGATTTTCAGAATTGCTTTAGAGAATGACAAGAAGCATGGAGTATGTTCGAAATGGGATGGTGGTGTCAGGGGTATTAATGGCAATGTGTCTTTTACTGTAATACATTGTTTTAAAATTTAATATTCACCATATGTTTCGATCACCCTTTGTAGGTGAGCTAATAATCAAAGAGCAAGAAAAGAGCTGAAATCATGTTCCCTTTCACTATAGACCTAGAGGGTTTTTTATTTCCTCTTTCATGTGAATTCTATGACAGGAAACTGCATTACACAATACACAATAACCTGAGACCTTCCCTCACTGTGTCCCCAGAGTTCCGATACGCCAAGAGGGCCTGGAGAGGGGGGAGTCCTTCATCTCTGACCTCACCATGAAAAGTACTCACTCAAATTCTACCTGGCATGAAGAACTCATTCTCCTGGACACCTTTGTTTAGTATCACTTGTCCTTGTATATTTTTTGTCCTAAACAGTGTGCTTTTCAGGTATTGTTAAGTACTAATGGAATAAGCACTCAGTCACTGCAGTTCTGCTTGTGCCCTGCCCAGCACAGCAGAGACATAATTAGGGGCTTAATCAATGTTTCTTGATAATGGATAAAAGACTATTAGAGTCCACGGGATTTCTACAGCAGCTGCATTAAGGCACTTTTATTTCAGTTCAACATATTTCAGGAAAAAAATCAATGCCCTTGTAAGATTTTTTGAGAAGAGAGGGTTAGGATAGGTTATCTGGGAGAAGGACTTTAGAACTGGTCAGGTACTTTGCAGGTTGGTCACAATGATTTGGTTAGGAAAACAGTCCTCAGCTGGGTTGATAATTGAATGTCTGACACTGGAGGGAAAAAGCATGAAAAACATATTATCGCCCCAGTTTACTCACTAGTAAAATAGAAAATAAAACCTTACTCATGGACTAGTCACCATGTTCTGCTAAGGACCAGGAAGTAAATATGAGCACTAAGAGGCACAAGTAAATATGAGCACTAAGAGGCACAAGGACGGTGCAGTTTAAGCGACTTGGGAATCAGATGCTGACAAAGCACATCTGAAAAATGGTTCCCAATCAGCTGCCCTCACCCAGGTTCATTCTCATTCATATTCCTTCTCTCTCTCTCTCTCTCTCTCTCTCTCTCTCTCTCTCTCTCGGTCCTAGTGATTGAACACAGGGGCCTTCACACAGAACTATATCCCTAGCCCTTTTATTTTTAGACAGTGTCTTGTTATGTCACTGTGTTGCAAACGCTGGGCTCGAATCTGTGTTCTGCCCACCTCATCCATCAAGATTCTAGGATTACAGGCATGTACCACCATGCCAGGTGCTGCTATCTTCTATTTATCTCCTTGTGAGTACGTTTTCTAAGATTATTTTGAAAGACAAAGTCATTTATTCTCCTCCAAAACCCTGAACTGGTAGGTCAAAGTGTTATTAAAGAGAAATTAAAATTAATCCAGCAATACAGTTGCTTCCCTCTTCTTTCAAAGTCTACAACAAACAGCACTTTAAGGCAATGATTCTCAAAAGCACGGTATTTGGAGTAGCGGCATTAGCACCACCTGGAAACTTGTCAGAAATGCAAATTTTTGGTTCCCTCCGGGCCCCAGAACTACCAGAGTAGAAATCTGGGGGATGGGGCCTAGCCATTTGCATTATTTTTAAAAAAACCTCCACAGGATTCTGATGCAGTAATGTTTAAGAGCCACTGCTTGGGCCACTGTCGAAACAGTTGAAATGATTTGATGTTGTACTAAACAAGTAACCCTAAGATGTCAGTGTCTTTTTCAATTCTATAAATGAGGTCTGGCCTAGCACTAACCATGCCCAGCCAACAGCACCTGGTTCTGAGATCTAATACATCTTGTGCTACCTAGCATCTGATCATGCTGCCCCTCTGCGCTCTGGGAGGCACCAAGGGCTGGGGTAGGCTAGGGCTTCTGGGCTGAGCCACATGCTCCTACTTTCCAGTGTGAGACTGAGAAACAGAAAAAAAAAAAGGGGGCACACAGGGAGGACTTGATCTTTGAAGTGAAAGATTTCACCAAAGTCCATCAATTTTAACCATTCCCTTCTTGGAGTAGAACAAATACTAAGTACTTCCCGATCTCTGTTTCAGAAACGGTAATCAAAAGACAGTGCTTATAAAATTAAAAATAAACCTTTTCAGATAATTGCTTATTGGCCGCATAAGCCATGCACCCTGCATGGTGACTACAGGCGTTGACCCCGGGAAGCATATGGATAATGCACCTCTGGATAATGCGTGTATGTCCACACGCTCCTCTCCCAGCTCCGTGACCCTGCAGCGCCACTTATTAACCAGTATCTTCTAGTCATAAACAATTACAGCTCCAGATGGGAAGGTGAATTATGGAGAATTGCTTGTCCAAAGATGCAAAGGCTTTCAAATTTCTGTTCAAAAACAATGCTTGCTCCATACCACAGACTATCTGCCCCAAGAACACATGAACAGAAGAGTGTCAGACCAGCAGGTGCATGATACTGTTTCTTGATCTTTTCTATCCCCCGCCTAAGAAAAATGGAAATGTAAACTGCTTGGTAACTTTTCTCACTTTAAACTGCTCCTCTCATCACGACCTATCACACCCACACAGTCATGTGCCATAGGCTCTCCACACAGTCTCCAACATTTCAAAGGCTCAAAAGCTACTTTTAAAGCCAAAATATAATCTAATTGCAACTCTGTAAAGCACTTTTTAAGGTAAGAACAAAGTGAGGGAGCGATTTCTATGCACACGGGCAGCTGGCCAACTCACCAAAAGACTGAATGCAGCTGTCGATGAGGTCGTCCAGGCTGGCTCCTTTGGCTAAAGGTCCCAGGGGCACCATCATTCGGAACTGGGTGATCTGGGCCAGGCTGGGATGGGAAGGGAAGGGGCTGCTGGCTGGTTTTGCCTCTAGTCTTGCTTTAGGGGCAGCTCTGGAGCCATGGCAAGGTTTCCTGGGGAAAAAGAGAAGGCAGTGAGGGCAGGCAGAGTAGCTAGGGACAAACTGGCAGCTCAGGGCTCTGTCGGCAGATTGGAGAGAAAAGGAGTGGAGATAAGACAATTAATCCCAGGAGCAGGACTGATAGAAACCATAGCCCTCCCACTTGGTGAATGCACGGAACAGACTGGTTGGCTGTTAAAGAGACATCTCCCCAGCAAATGACAGGTGAGATTTCTGGACTGCAACAAGGGCTCTTAATTCCCAGCACCAGGATGGCTCTGTCCTGCTGTCTGTCTCCCAGTTCCCCCCAAGGAAGAGGCACAGGCAGGACTGTACCCTGGTAGTCAAAAAAAAAAAAATGTAGCTGCTTGGCCACTGACTTGGGTCTTAAGAATTAAGTTGGTCTCGTCTTCACCTAAGTTTATCTTGAGCAGTACCCTAGATGCTGCAGAAGACCAGGTGGCCTCAAAAACGGCTCTGAAGACCTCAGGGGGTTAGTCAAAGTCTGAAGGGTGTGCAGGGAGTTAGGAGTTAGGGTGGTGGTAGCACTGAGACGTGAAGTTAGCTCTGCCTTCCTTACAAAGTTTGGTTTCTTTAAGAAACGTCCATTATTAATAATATAGGTAATCATTATGAGTCATTTTTATCATTAAACATTATTCCAGGGAGGACTTATCTGGGTCATTAACAGTTAAAAGTGAAAGCTAAGCTAGAGAGACTAAGGGTTTCAGAGGTAAACGTTGAAGCATAAATTTAGATCTGGATATGGCTTAGGGTTCCAGCATATCTTCATCTCTTCACATTTGGCTTTATGTGTGTGACCTGGTAAAAGTCATTTGGCAAGATGACTTATGAAGGGAAGTATTTTATTTTCCTATTTAAAAACATACAGATACATATCTTAAGACTTAATAGTGATGGCAATGCTGTTGGTAACATCTGGGCATAAGTTAACTCTCTCCCTACTTAGCTTTGGTTGCTTCACAAAAAGATAACCCAGGTTCATAATCAGAGATTCCCCACATATAATAAGCACAAAATGACCTGGATTAGTAAGAGCTTCCTCTGAGTAAGACTGTGGTGGGGGGGAGAGGGGGAGAGGGGGGGAGAGGGAGGGAGAGAGGGAGGGAAGCGGGGGAGAGAGAGAGTCTAGGAGAGTACTTAGGAAACTATGTAACATGCTCGTGTAAACTATAAAGCACGTTAGTTGTTATTGTATGCAGGTGATCTTGACGTTCCTTACTATAAAAAACCTAGCTGGGGGATCAGATTGAAATTATGAAATGGCAACCATATAACGCTTAAATAAGCGTCTTGTGAGAAGTAAGAGGAGTAAATGATGTTCTCGGAGGAAGGAGAAGCAATTTCTGGGAAGTGTTTGGAAGAGCTCCTCTGACAAGATAAAATCTCACCGAGACAGAGCTGAAGAAGGCTTAGATCAAATAAAATGCAGCAACACCTGGGTCTGGGGAAACAAACCTGCTAAAAGACCATTCTCTGGGTGCACGGGGCCGTTCAGTATACAGCCAGACTCCTAGAGGAAGGACCCCAGGGGTCTGCAGGGCTGAGGACTGGAATCACCCGCTGGTTAGCTGGTTACGGGCCATCTGCTGATTGAAGGGACTGACTCCAGAGAGATCAAGCTGGTGCTATAGGACTCTACCAAGTCTGTGGCCTCTACTGATTTTTCCCTAGCCTCTGAGATAGCCTCAGAATCAAACTGGTATCTGAGAAAAAAATGATAATCTGCAAATAAAACAATAACACACACCATGAACTGAAAATCTACACTCTGAAGGCACTGTGCTGGGCATTTACATTGTCTCTGAAGCCTACAGTCTACAAAGATATTATCTCCATCCCGTGAGGCTGAAGCCTAGTCCAAAAGAAGCTAAACGACATAGCCGAGGCCTCATGACTCACGTGTGCTAGATCTGGGATTTGTACCTGGCACCTCCCTGACTTGCATTTAATAAATATTTACTGTGCCTGGAACCATGTATCTCATACTACATGACAACTGGCAAGCAGACTGTCAGAGAGAGGCTGACAAAGCTAACTCAATGTAAAACTGAAGTCAAATCCTGCAAAAGCACAGCTGCTACCGTCAGGGCCGAATCTCAGCTCCTGCCACAGGTCCCAGGAACTGTCCTCGAGATGCCAGGGCTGGATGGGCTCTTCATAGTCTTTTTCCAAACCCGTCATCTATAGCTGTAGAGAGGCCAGGCTTGGAAAGGTAATGTCACTGGGCCACTGATGCAGAGCATGCTAGAGGTGGCCTCCTCTGTCACTGCCACACTTCCCAGACGGGCTCCCTTCCCCTCCTGCAAGCACTGACAGCTCTAAGCCTGGTCCAACATTGACATTATTCAGCTTCTGCCTCAGCTGCTGCCACTGCACCAAAGGCAGAGTAAGGGAATGACAAAAATTCTTCCCTGGACAGTAAAAGTCTTTTTCGCTCAGGCCTTCCACAGGATTTCTCTCGACCCTGGAGAAGAGGCAAGAGCACCTAGGGGCTGTCAGTGCAGAGCTCTTCCCACTGGGGCTGGGGAGTGTGTGGAAGGCCAAGGAAAATTCGATTTTCTCTCTCTGTTGGTGGCTTGAACATTTGGGACTCCTGAGGCCACCCAGTTCTCTAGTTTTAGTGACATGCTAGTGCAGGCAACAAGGGAAAGCTCTTTGGTTGATACAGCAATTCTCAGATGTCAGTGCTTTTACCAGAACCAGGAGGGGCAAGGATGGATTCAGAAATAAAGAAAGATCCAGAAGGAAGCACTTTGAGTAGAAGACCAAAGAGGGTGAGAGATGGGACCTGGGAAATGTGGACACCAGAAGGCTAGAGCATGAGAAACCAGGAGGAAGAGAAAATATTAAAACTGATTGCACCTAAGTGATCTGGTAAGATCCGATGATTATGTGCCCCATAAACAGAAACTCGGTTCTTAGACAGGGTCCTGACTGGCTGGCTGCCTCCGGGAGAATCCTCCAGTCTCTCAACTCTCCTGATGAATTAGTGGTAGACAAGGATTCACAAAATGTGTTTTGTTTTGTTTTGTTTTGTACCAGGGATTGAATTCAGGACCCTGCAAGGCAGGCAGCAGAACCACTGAGATAAATCCCTGGCCCCACAAAATGCTTTTGTTATAAGCAGTTTTAAAAGTACTTTAACAATCCACAGAATGAACAGCCTCTAATTCTGCAAAGTTGTATTTTTAAAGGATGGTAGCCAAATGTTTCCCATTTCATTTGTGAATTAAAAAGATAATAATCCAACAACAAAAATCCCTGAGAAAAACAAATGAACTTGAAGGTGTTTTACAGAGCCTAAAAGAGGCCAAAGCCCCCCAGGGCTTGCTGAAGGAAGCTGTCAAAACCTTGAACTGGCTGCAGGGGCAGCCTCTCCAGGCAAAGGGCAAAGATGTCTCAGCGGGGTCTCGGCTTCATGCAGTAGGGGTTGGAGGAGGAAGTGATCAGCAGAGGGTCAGAACCCCAACTTGTACTGGTTAGGGCTGAGCAGAGGCAGATTTCCTCCACTGGTGCTCTTTCCTCCCCCTAACAGCCTCAATTTAATTGTTCAACCTCCCTTGACCACTCCAGGGCCCGGTACAGCGTCGGTGGTCAGGGAATGCAGAGGGCCTGGCACGCGTGGGTCAGAAGTCCATCAGTCCAGCAGCACGGAGCCCCCTGCGCCCTGTGGACGGCTGCACAGGTGCGGCGCCTGCAGTCACACGGAGTCCGCGTGAGTGGAGCTGCGAAGCGCAGGTCAGGCCGGCCCTGCACCGAGGAGAGGCGTCGTGGGGCAGTCCTCTGACTCCGGTGAACACGGAGTGCGAGTGAACACTAGGGTGCCTGACCCGCCCAAACCTTTTTCTCCAGCCAAGAGCCCTTTCGCTCGTCCCTCATCTATCACTGCAGGAATCCCCCTAAGCATCTCTAGAATCGCAGGGTGGAGTGAGTGAGGGTGTGTGGAGGCTTCACGGCTCGCCGGCCAGGGGTTCAGAAACTTCTCCTCCGGGGCAGGGCCGACGAGCAGGCGGCTGTGCCCTCCTTGCAAATGCGGCCGGCCACTCCAGACCGGGTCCGAGAGGCCGCCAGGGGGCGCTGCCGGCCCCGTGCCCGGGGCAGGTGTGGGGGACGCGGAAAATCCGCGAGTGGGAGTCCCGGGCGCGGAGGGTGGCAGGAGGCCGGGGCTGGCACTTTCCCCTCGCCACTCCGAGCTCTGGCCCGAGCCCCAGCTCCCTCCTCCGCCCGCGTCCCCGGCCCGGAGACCCTCCCGCCCGTCCCTCCGAGGTCGCCGCCGCCCCTGGCCGGGGACGCGCTCCTCCGGCCCTACTCACCGCGGAGCCTCTCGCGCCTTGCCCAGGGTGCCCATGGCCGCGGCCGGAGCTGCTCACCTCGCGCGGCGGGACGGGCCCGGCGGGCCGCGGCGCATCGCACCCGCCCGCCCTCGCCGCAGCCCGGCCCGGCCGGCGCCCGCACGCGAGCACGGCGCGCTCTGCAGACTCGGTGCGCGCCCGCTCGCGCCGCCCTCCGCGCCACCTGACGCCGATCTTATCGGCCCAGGAAGCGTGGGGCTGCGCTTCCCCGAAACCGGCTCCAGTACTCAGTAGCGCCCCGGCCCGCGCCTCCCGCACTTTTCCTCCTGACCCTGTGCTCAGCGGACCTCTCCAGACGGCGGTTCAGTGCGTGGGGAGCGGGGGCTCCCGGCCCCCAGTTCCGGGCCCACGCCTGGCAGCTGCCTCGCCCTGAGCCCGGAAAGCGGCCTCAGTGGAACCCCTTCGTCCCCTGCGGGCCTCTCCTGTATAGATCAGAGCTCAGAGTCCGGTCGGGAACTGAGATTGTAGGGCAGGGGGTCCTAGGCAGGAAAAAGGATAAATAGGTTCTCATTAAAGCTTGACCAAAGAAATTAGTAAGAAATCTTACTAAAGGCAGCTTTTGCCTCTGCAGTTAGACTCCAGCAATTAAAAAGACAAAAGTAAGAAAAGACAGAGAAGCCAGACCCGGGAAGGTGCCAGGTAACACAATTAACATAAGAATTTCACAGAAAAAACTACAGGCAGAGATGTAGCCAGGAAGCTGAAAGGCCGGGGAAAACAGCCCCTTCACCCACCTCTGATAAAATGCAAAGGAGATAAGAAGATTCTTATTTAATACGCAAAAGACACACAGTTATACATATATACTTGCATGTATATTCCCGCTTTAGCATCACTATACCTGCACAGGATGCGCACATGTTCCCTTAATTTCTGTCTCTAAGCTGCCCTCTGAGGTTCCCCCCCCCCCATCACAAAAAGGCGGAAAGAAATCAAAGGGCAAGAAAGATTAGGGTCAAAGACAGCCAGAGAGCTGATCAGATGGCAACAACTTCCAGGTGCGCTCGGGCAGGATGGGAGAAATCAACCAGCCCTAAGTAGAAAGGAACGGAGGACAAAAATCCACAGGTATTCACTTCTGATGCCCCCTGCTCCCCCAGAGAACTGTCCATCATCTTTTTTCCTCCATCCTTTTCCAAATAAACCATCGTTACCTCCAGGGGTGGACAGCTCGCCACGCCATGCCACGCCATGCCGCTGCTCTGCTGAAAACGCAGCTCCCAGTGATTCTAAACCCGGCACCAGTAAAGAACTAAAAAAGAGGCAAAGTTTAGTATGACAAAAGACGGTTTATTTGGGGAGAAAAGATGGAAAAGAGGATAGACAGCTACCGTGAGGTGGTAGAGGGCTTCAGAGCTGAAAGCCGGGAGCTCTTATCCCTGGCTCTGTTTATTGGGGACCAGTGTCTTTCCCATCCCCCAGGTGGGCACTTGTCCGTATCTGATTTGTTCTTTTACTGTCTTTGATCCTAACCTAGCTTTCTGGCCATTTGGTTTCTTGCTGTCCGTTTGTAATGAGTAAGTGAAGGGAGAAGGCATAGTAGGAAGGCAGCTTACTTAAGGATTGAGTAAAGGGGACTTGTGTACATGGGTGTGTCTGGTGCGATATACTTACTAACGTTAAAGTGAGAACACACACACGTGCCCATGTGGAGGTGTGTATGTGTGTGCATGCGTGTCTACCATATTAAGAGTCCTTAGATGGCTGTCTTCCATTGCCCTTGCATTCTGTCAGGTGGCTGAGAGGAGCTGGCTTTCCTGGTAATTGTGGTGCCTGTGCCTCTCCCACCTCTAACTAGCTTTTCCCTAAGAAACTGCTTTTAATAAGTTTCCCTATTGATCTTAATAAAGCTCAATGAGGCCTTTTTCCTATCTTTTGCCTATCTTTTTCCTACCTACAGTGCCCCTGTTCCTCCGCCATCTCTTTTATTTTAAACTCTGCCACTTCAGTACGATCCTGGTAGGAGGAGCGGTGCGTACATCTCACCCTGCCACAAGATCAGCTGGGGAGTTGCCTAAACCAGGGCATTGGGGTCTCTTGGGGGGGGGCAGCAGGTGTGGAGGTGCTCAGGGGGGTCACCTGCATCTGTGGGGCATCCAGGGTGTCAGAGACTGTGGGGAGAGAGGAAGGGTGGAAAGGTGGGGTGCAAGCTTGGCCAAGAGTGGCCCACCTCCGCTTGTTGAAGGCCTGGTAATGACAGTAGCAATAGTTAATGCGGAGTGGGGTGTGCGAAGTGCTTTTTATATATTATCCCATTTCATCCAGCACTCCCATCCTGTCCAAATACAAAGGAGTCACTGTGTAAGAGACAGGAAACTAAGGTTTACAGAATACTGTGCCTCCAATCATACACCAGTAAAACAGACAGAGCTATGATTTGGACCAAGATCAGCCTGACTCCAGTAGTACTGTGGGTCTGTCCATCCCAAAGGCACACTTGTCACTGTTAACACTCTGAGATGCTAGCCACTTCCGCTACAAGGTCAGTTGTCCTCTCAGCCTTATACTATGGACCTAAAGGCCTCCTTTATTATTTCAAGTATATGTTTCCTCATATTTATATACCACCTTTTCCTAAAAAAGAATTCAATATAGCTTACAAGAATACATGACCTACAGGTGTGGTGGTGCACACCTGTGATCCCAGCACTCCAGAGCCTGAGGCAGAAGGGTTGCTTCGAGTTTGAGGCCAGCCTGGGCTACATAGTGAGTCCAAGGTCATCCCGAACTAAATAGCAGGACCCTGTCTCAGAAAAAACCAAAACAAACCAACAAAGACACCAAAAAAGAGTAGATGACCTACAAAAAGAGGCTTGTAAAATGAAAAATAAGGCACATAAAATGGAGCCAGAAATGTATGTTGTTTGCAAAACATGTACCCCAGAGAATCCAATACACTTGCTTAGGTGGGACCAAATTTTTTCTCTCAAATTCTAACAGCTAGGCTCAAGAGGAAGGCCTTGTCTAAAATTCAATTCTTGGTCTATGAAAAACAAAACAAAACAAAAAAGTGCTTTAAAAAAGTTCCGCTCCACTTCCTAAAGAGACCTGAGAATCATGAACATTGGGTGATATAAAGACCAAGTCATCAACCACTGCCATGTACAAAGAAGGGGCAGGTAGGGCCTGGGATTTAGCTCAGTGGTTTCACCGCCTGCTACGCAAGCGCAAAGACCCGAGTTGGACCCCCGGTACCAAACATAAATAAATAAAAAACAAGGGGCAGGTAAATGTCAGGAGGATGTTGATATAATGACTCTGTTCCTCACTGAAGAGGTTCACAATTTTTCAGAGTTATTACAGTATATTCCATCCTTCCTGCTAGTCTACAACCTAAACTACTGACTCTTCAGCTGTCTGAAGATGGTAAAGATACATACCGTTGTCTGTATCATCTACATCTTTGTCTCCTACTGTTCTTAGGGTGCAGGCTTTGGTTTTGTTCAAAGAGATCTCTGATTTCCAGGTAAACAATTACCTTTCCCTGACCTCCTTCCTCAAAGTGAGCCCTTTCCCCGCCTCCCCCAACTGTGATCGAGTGCTCACACTTTATATTCTATACCCTTGTCCTTGTCTCATCTTTCCAACCAAACTGTAAGCTATCAGGTGTAGCTTCCTTCAAACAGCTAGCTGAGGTAACACACGTGAGTCATTACCCAAAAACTACTGTTGATTTGATTTTGAAATGTGGAATATAGTGATCTTGAAGAAGAAAATTAGATTCTGCCAGATTATTTCCTCAAAGAGTGCACATTTTCCTTTTAAGTCCTTGTCTACAGCAAAACTGGTAAGTTTGCTGGCACCTTACCCTCTAGCTTTCATGGGGGCCTTCACTGTTTCTCTATTGCATCTCTTCTACATATTCCTTTATGTAAACGCATGATTTTATTTATGTGTAAATCCGTGTTTATATATATAGAGACTGTGGTGTATTCACATAACATTAAACACATATGCAGGCAGTTACGTGCATCTATAATTGAAGTTCGTTGTACATATAAGCAATAGAAATTGAGGTTATTAATTCATTCATGAAATGATTCTTGCAAAGTTTTCTAAAGAAAGAGTCCTTCTTTCTCTTGGGCTTCCCAATGCTGTACCTGCCTTGGATTCTGTTTCTGGGCCCACCTAAGATTTGTGGGGTTTTTTTTTAAGCTCAGCTTTTTCTTGAACATGTCACAAAAGAGGTTTAGTCAAAAAGACCAAAGCATGTTATCATGAGTCTACTGGGATTCTTCTTTCCTCGCCTCTGCTTTTTTCTCCTCGGTAGGGAGCAGTGGGAGGGAGACCTCCTGGGAGTGCAGCACCAGCTGTGGGAGCAGGGCCACCAGTCTCTGAGTGGCAGGTGCCCCATTTGGGCACTGGCCAAGGCCATTGCAAGGAAGCCAGGCCCCAAAAGTTCGGTGCTTACACCAGCTGCTTTCATGAGGGCATGGATCTTAGCCTCCATGAAGGTCACCCCACAGTCCTGGAGGATGCGGGACATGAGCTTGGAGCCAGAGCCCATGGGGCAGGGGAGTGCTTGGCTGGCACTGCTCACTGGACCAAGTGATGGTGAAATCATGACGACTCCTTGCTAAGGGGCACTAAGGCTCCCAAGGCTTTGGAACGACTATACACCTTCTTTCCTGTGAGCCTACAGATAGCCAATCTGTGCATGTCGGAGGATGATTCAAGACCCCCAAGGCAGCCTTAACTTCCTCAGAAGGACAGAGGTCCTTGGAGGCCACTGAGAAGAGGTCTGACCTCAGACCTTTAATGAGGCTTTCTGGCTGCTTCCATCTAAGCAGTACATCTTTTCTAAATGCATAAAAGTGAGAAGTTAGCTCTGTCTTGCCCTTTACCTCCTGCCATGTGCATAGTCTCCCTGGTGTATGAGAACCTCTGACCTCTAGGAACAACACTTGTAGCCTCATATTACCCTCTTTTCTGCTTCTCCACATTTATGATGGGCAACCATCAGTGTCTGTCGGGGACCATCAAGCCTTCTGCCCTCCCTTGGGGGAGTTGCTCCTCCAACTCTTTGTCATTCTACCCATCAGGGCTTCTTCTACAGACCTGTGACTTCGATGGTTACTTAGATGGG